CCTTGCGCAAATAAATTCTGCGCAGTTAATATTTTTTGGAATATCACCCGTCGTCAAATAATGTTGACTGTTGCTACGCTGCAGGGCTTGGCTTCATTATTCAGCAGGTAATAATGTTTTTTAACAAATGTTTCTCGACGAATCAGATTCAACTAATTTACATGAAAGTATAATATAAAAAATATTACATGTTTATTTAGAGTAACATCCCTTGAAAACGGCTTTGCCTCGGTCAGAAATGCTTTTCGGAGTATAACAATTTCACATGTTACCCTAAAAATATATTATAATAAAATATTTTTATAATATTAGCCTAAACTAAAAGTCATTCTACAAAAAACATAACCAATTAAAAAAATTTTATGTCGCTTACAAATTTACAATTTTACAAAATTTACAAATTTGTAATAAAATTTTAACAAAATTTACAAATTTGTAATATCTTAACAATAATTTTAAAGATCAATTTCAACTCTAAGACTGAACATACACACATGGTTTTGTTATTATTTACCGATATATATGCAGTTCAAGTTTTGATATGAACATAATGCAATGTTGAAAAACGCATAATTCCACTGCAAATCTTAATGTGGCTTCATTTATTTACAAATTTCAAGATGAAATTTTCAGCCATAAAAGCGTTCCGAATAGATTGCAATGAATGTTAAAAAAAGTTTTTCATCGTATATAAAAAGAAGTCAAACCACATCTCGAAAAGAAATACATGAATCTTCTTTCATGCGAAATCATAAGCATGTCGCTAAAAATCGATTAACTTTCTTAACGATTTTGTTTTTAATTTCGCGCACAGAATGCAGATTTCAAAGAGAACTGAAACTTATCTGAAAATGATCACGGAACCTAATATCATCGATTCTAGTTGCGAATCAGCTATAGACGATTACATTTTCGACATAACAAACTGAATTAGACATAAACAGTTGTCTCTCTTAAATTTTAACTTCCGTAACGGTAATTCAGAAAAGTTTTTGCATTAAAGATATAAAAAAAAATATTATTTTGGGAGCGAAATGCTTCATACTTTTGTTTAATATCCTAAAACAAACTTTGATTTCATAAGACTTCGAGTTGAAATCGACCTTTAAATTTATAGTTAAGATATTACAACGGTAAAATTGTAAGCGACATAAAAAAATTCTTAATTGGTCATGTTTTTTGTAGAATGACTGAGTCCCCGCTCACTGACGTCAGCCACAAAGACAGCCGCGAGACATTGGCATGCATATTAGGCACTTGACCTTTCGCTTGGCAAAATTAATATTGAGAAATCAACATACTCATCTTTCATAGATTTATCACAGAGAAAACAGTTGGAAATGTAAATATAACAATATATATTTATATATTTGACCCCCCTGATATCAACAAATCTGTCGAGTAGAACCTTCGCAAGCCCTGCGTGAGTGTCGCCGATTTCCCGTTTCTTCCTCATCCAACGATTATATTAATTCCCAAACTAAATTTTAGACAGGAAAGTTGCTTTTTCAAGCTCTATTTCCAGTTTCTTTTTCTTTTTGGTCGACTTTGTCAATGAAGCAGGCTCTACCAGGCTTCCTTCTCTTCCCATGCTGTTTTGTTTATAAAAACTACGCATGCTTGCATAGCATGGAATGTGGAACCCCGAACACGTTGCGATGTATATACTTATATCCCATAAATAACTATTAATTTTAATGAAATAATCAAAATTATTTAGTGTGAAAGCTGTAATTTTCTGAAAGTTTATACATTTATGAGTTGTAAAAAAAATTCCAAATCTTGTCAGAAAATTTTATCAAGTCGGATTTTTGATGAGTTGCGCCGCACTGTCACTTTAATCGTTACGGAAGTTAATTCCCAGCAATAAAAGTTAAAGTTCTCTTCAATAGTTAAAATTAAAGTGTGTTTTAGGATAATAAACAAACGTATGAAGCATTTCGCTCCCAAAATGATAATTTTTTATATACCTTTAATGCAAACACTTTCCTGAATTACCGTTACGGAAGTTAAAGTTTTAAGAGAGACAACTGTTTTTGTCTAATTCAGTTTGTTATGTCGAAAATGTAATCGTCTAAAATAGCTGACTCGCAACTATAATCGATGATATAAGGTTCAGTGGTCACTTTCAGTTAAGTTTCAGTTCTTTTTGAAAACTGCATTCTATGTGTGAAATTTAAAACAAAATCACTACGGAAGTTGATCGATTTTAAGCGACATGCTTATGAATTCGCATGAAAGGAGATCCATGCATTTCTTTGCGAGAAACGGTTTGATTTCTTTTTATATAGGATAAAAGACATTTTTTAACATTCATTGCAATCTATTCGGAACGATTTTACGACTGAAAATTTCATCTTGAAATTTGTAAATAAATGAAGCCACATTAAGATTTGCAGTGGAATACGTTTTTCAACATTACATTATGTTCATATCAAAACTTGAACTGCATATGTATCGGTGAATATTTACAAAACCATGTGTGTATGTTAAGACTTCGAGTTGAAATCGACCTTTAAATTTTTAGTTAAGATATTACCAGGCCCGTAGGAAGCAATTTCACCTTGATGGGGCACAACCATACATTTTCAGTTGGGGACACTAGCATCTACCAAAATTCCTTGAGAAGCAAAAAAAAAAAAAAAAAAAAAAAAAAAAAGGTCATCAAACGTTATTATTGAGGGGGCACAAGCATGTAGTAGCTATATTTTCTATAGTATTCTATATATCGGCAAAATTATTGGGGGGGGGCACGTCCCCCCCGTGCCCCCCCCCCCGGTTCCTACGGCCATGATTACAACGGTAAAATTGTAAGCGACATAAAAAAATTCTTAATTGGTCATGTTTTTTGTAGAATGACTGAGTCCCCGCTCACTGACGTCAGCCACAAAGACAGCCGCGAGACATTGGCATGCATATTAGGCACTTGACCTTTCGCTTGGCAAAATTAATATTGAGAAATCAACATACTCATCTTTCATAGATTTATCACAGAGAAAACAGTTGGAAATGTAAATATAACAATATATATTTATATATTTGACCCCCCTGATATCAACAAATCTGTCGAGTAGAACCTTCGCAAGCCCTGCGTGAGTGTCGCCGATTTCCCGTTTCTTCCTCATCCAACGATTATATTAATTCCCAAACTAAATTTTAGACAGGAAAGTTGCTTTTTCAAGCTCTATTTCCAGTTTCTTTTTCTTTTTGGTCGACTTTGTCAATGAAGCAGGCTCTACCAGGCTTCCTTCTCTTCCCATGCTGTTTTGTTTATAAAAACTACGCATGCTTGCATAGCATGGAATGTGGAACCCCGAACACGTTGCGATGTATATACTTATATCCCATAAATAACTATTAATTTTAATGAAATAATCAAAATTATTTAGTGTGAAAGCTGTAATTTTCTGAAAGTTTATACATTTATGAGTTGTAAAAAAAATTCCAAATCTTGTCAGAAAATTTTATCAAGTCGGATTTTTGATGAGTTGCGCCGCACTGTCACTTTAATCGTTACGGAAGTTAATTCCCAGCAATAAAAGTTAAAGTTCTCTTCAATAGTTAAAATTAAAGTGTGTTTTAGGATAATAAACAAACGTATGAAGCATTTCGCTCCCAAAATGATAATTTTTTATATACCTTTAATGCAAACACTTTCCTGAATTACCGTTACGGAAGTTAAAGTTTTAAGAGAGACAACTGTTTTTGTCTAATTCAGTTTGTTATGTCGAAAATGTAATCGTCTAAAATAGCTGACTCGCAACTATAATCGATGATATAAGGTTCAGTGGTCACTTTCAGTTAAGTTTCAGTTCTTTTTGAAAACTGCATTCTATGTGTGAAATTTAAAACAAAATCACTACGGAAGTTGATCGATTTTAAGCGACATGCTTATGAATTCGCATGAAAGGAGATCCATGCATTTCTTTGCGAGAAACGGTTTGATTTCTTTTTATATAGGATAAAAGACATTTTTTAACATTCATTGCAATCTATTCGGAACGATTTTACGACTGAAAATTTCATCTTGAAATTTGTAAATAAATGAAGCCACATTAAGATTTGCAGTGGAATACGTTTTTCAACATTACATTATGTTCATATCAAAACTTGAACTGCATATGTATCGGTGAATATTTACAAAACCATGTGTGTATGTTAAGACTTCGAGTTGAAATCGACCTTTAAATTTTTAGTTAAGATATTACCAGGCCCGTAGGAAGCAATTTCACCTTGATGGGGCACAACCATACATTTTCAGTTGGGGACACTAGCATCTACCAAAATTCCTTGAGAAGCAAAAAAAAAAAAAAAAAAAAAAAAAAAAAGGTCATCAAACGTTATTATTGAGGGGGCACAAGCATGTAGTAGCTATATTTTCTATAGTATTCTATATATCGGCAAAATTATTGGGGGGGGGGGCACGTCCCCCCCGTGCCCCCCCCCCCGGTTCCTACGGCCATGATTACAACGGTAAAATTGTAAGCGACATAAAAAATTCTTAATTGGTCATGTTTTTTGTAGAATGACTGAGTCCCCGCTCATTGACGTCAGCCACAAAGACAGCCGCGAGACATAGGCATGCATATTAGCCACTTGACCTTTCGCTTGGCAAAATTAATATCGAGAAATCAACATACTCATCTTTCATAGATTTATCACAGAGAAAACAGTTGGAAATGTAAATATAACAAGATAATTTATGTAGAAATGTATGCAGATCTCAATTTGTAAAGATATAGTATTCTATGCATTGTGTATAAAACAGAGATTTGGTATATAAATAATACCAAAGGTGCTTGATAAGAGGTGTATTGTCAATATGCTTTGAAAAGGGATATTAGTTTACCTCTAAGTTAATTTGTACAATTATTTTTAGAGAGGCATGGGGGATAATAAAGAATACTTCATAGGATTTTGCTGAACCTTAAAAATCGACAAAAATTGATCCATTTATCATCAGTAAAATAAATATACCCATTAACTTTTTTTTTTTTTACCACAAACTGGTATATCGCAGTACTCCCATCTCTTCTGTGGGTCTGTGGTGTAGCACCATGGCCTGGAATCACTATCTGGGTTTCTGCAGAAGTTTTCATTGACGCTGGCAAGTCTGTAGAAATAGTGATAGTGAGGGTACTGGCTATCCCATCTCTGACATTTTCGACCCGATCTGGTCACAGATGTTGTTCCTCGATATTCTAGCCCTTTTGTGGTCTTCTTACAATTCTTGGCTAAAAATTCTGAAAAAAAATGTTTCGAGTTCTAAGCATCACCTATCTACGGAAGCTTATATGTCTCCACACTTGTTGTGTTATAACTTGGTCCCCATAGCCACTTTAACTTTCCTCCGGAGTCTGTATTTTAGAGTGGATTTTCCCCAGGAGGAAATCTCATACTAGAGTCAGACTTTCCAGGGGTAGGATTTCTCCTACTTTATAAAAACTAAATTGTAATAGAGAAAAAAAGTCATTAAACAATGTAAAATACAACAAGTGTGAACACTAAAACCCCAGTCACATTTCTAAAAACGACCAACGGCCGACGCATTTTGCGGCAAATATTGGATTCTTTGGGCGACAGTCGACAGATCATCGGCTGTTGTCTTGCCCATTTTGGCCTCTATTTTCGTCGGCCTACTAATTTTGTGTCCGTTGGGCCCAGATCATCGTCCGACCATCCTCAGACAATTTGGCAAATCGATCGTTAGTCGGTCGACATTAAGGTATTGGGTTTTAGATGTCGGCCGATGATGAAAATCAAACTGCGGCTCAGCGCTCGATGATCGAGGGACGATTGACCAACTTATAAATATTTAAACTTTTGAAGTCATCGGTGTTCGTAGGAGTTAATGTGACTGCTCCGCGTCGCCCGATACTAGTGCCGGTGTAACGACGAAAAATGACCCCCGTAGAATATTAACCGGGGGGTCAAATTTCTCCGTAGAAAAATGACCTCCGGTCAATTTTCTACGGCAAGTAGGGTCATTTTTCGACCGTAGAAACCCTTCCAGGCCGGGTGTAAAGACGAATAATGACCCCCGTAGAATTATGACCGGGGGTCATTTTCCGACGCCGAAAAATGACTCCCGGTCATTATTCGACGTAGAAAAATGACCCCCGGTCATTATTCGACGTAAAAAAAAAAAAAAAAAAGACCTTTTCGCCCGTAGAAAAAGTGGCATCACCCTTAAAATCTGCATACCCTACGTGAAGAAAAATGACCTCCGTAGAATAATGACCCCTGGTAAATTTGATCAGAAAAAATTTTTTTTGGATTAAAAAAATTAAGAACTAATGAATCAAGAGGGCCATGGATCAAAATGCTCACCTGAAGTAAATTGAAGATATAGCGATGATCTGTTGTTCTCATTTAATCCTTCAAATGTCTTTTATGGTAAATTGACAATCTATACTACTATATTAAAATTATAGACTCGAATTTTTGGCCTTTAATACCGATAAATCGGAAGAGTACTGTCTTTTGTTTTATATATTTTAAACATCATCGGTACTTGAAGATTACCAATTTGTTTTTATTTTTTCTCATTTAAGCTTCGCTAATTAATAATCAACGAAAATTCCTCAAAAAATTCCGGAAATCATCAGGATTTTTTGGATTTTACAATCTTGCGCGTGAGCATTACATTCACGCTAAATCACGGTGTTCAAATCAGGGAAGACAAAAGTAAATACTAAGTAGATATATATTTGTTATTTTATAATTTCTCTAATAAGAAATCATAAATATATATGAACAGAATATATAGCAAATTTCCAATGAAAATTTACACGTATTTGTATTATCGTCATGCAAATGTGATATTGTGGCCACGTGGGTAATCATTCGCCATCTCGGAGACACATTTATTATAAGTTATTTATATCTCTGGCCATTTCAACGGAGGCAAAAAGCTCATGATCGTAGGAGCAATATTAATGTAACTACCCGATTTTATTTTATCCTTCCTTTCTTTTATGCTTTTTTTAGGGGAAGGGGGGGGGGTGTTACAACTCCAGCTAGAATCACATCTTAGTGAAGTAGGCATTCTTTTTCCGCCAAAAATTACAATAACTACTATATTAAAATTATAGACTCGAATTTTTGGCCTTTAATATCGATAAATCGGAAGAGTACTGTCTTTTGTTTTATATATTTAAACATCATCGGTACTTGAAGATTACCAATTTGTTTTTATTTTTTCTCAATTAAGCTTCTATTTTTATTACTTTTTCTTTGTACTAAATCAAGGATAGTACATTAATTTTTATCAAAACAGACAATCTTGAGAGCATTTTCTTATATCATATATAAAGTACATTTGATGTTCTTAATTTTTATTATGATCTCTTGAACAACCAGTATGTTTTGGGTTTTTTTTAGGGGGGGGGGGGGGTATTTGCAAGATAATCTGTTCTGCTTCATATGTGCTAAATTGTGTAAAAATACCAGTATAGCACATTTGTCCATTTTCATATATTTCTGTTTTTACAGATTATATACATGTCTATTCCCTGTGTATATATAAAGTATATGTATTAGAAGTGCTTAACTCTCTTATTTTTGAGGTCATATTTTGAATAAGTTGAGACCTGCAGTGTTAAAATTGTTACAAAAATTTTTTACAACTTTAGTTTAATAACTGATTGTGTAAAAATACCAGCTTAGCACATTTCTTCATTTTCATTACTTTGCTTTGATATGTATCATCAGTGCTCAACTCTTTGTTGTTGTCATATTTTCAATAAATATCCATAATTTCTTTTATTAAATTTGTTTGGAAAGGTGAAATTAATGTAAGCTCCGGCGTGATTCGAACTCATGACTTGATTTATAGCTAACTGGGGGTCAAACCCATTCTGCGCTACGCCGTTACGCAACAATTTTGAAAAAAAAAAAAACAAAAACAAAACAAAACAAAAAAAAAAAAAACGAAAAAAACCCCCCAAAAAAACCCCAGAATTATATCCACATTCATGGTTTATTTCAAAAGTACCTTACAATATGAATGTGTCGATGTATCTATTTTGTAAATGTCCGATATGCACATGGATGCATTCATAACAATGTCAACCCGTGCACACACGGGTCAAAGTCTAGTGTATCTTATGTGGAAATGCTTTCATTCTGATTGACTTATGTATCATTCTTTAAAAAAGCAAACTTTTTTTTTATTTTCGCTTATACTATCCAGAGTCCAGAGAGAGAGAGAGAGAGAGAGAGAGAGAGAGAGAGAGAGAGATGCTTACAATGTCCACCGGTTAATTAAGTTGTGTCCGAATGCCTTTTTAAGCCAATGATTTAAATAGTGTGCATACATGTAATTTTCGGAAATGTAGCAAAAGTGCCTTACAATTTTTAAAATAAGAAGAATTACTTTTTTAGGGACTTCTAAAGTAACCGCCGTCACAGTAGCTCAGTCAGTAAAGCGCTCGCCGTGAGTTCGAATCAAGGCCGCGACTGACCTGAGTCGATAAAAAATAGGTAGCAACTGTTCCTTCGCCAGGCGCTCGGCACTTTGAAGTGAAAGTTGCAGGTCCTTCGGATGAGACCTTAAAAATCGAGGCCCCGTGTCACGGCAGGCGTTGGCACGATAAAGATCCCTCACTGCTCAATGGCCCTGAGTGCCGAGTAAAGGTCTAAATTCGAGGCCCTTCACCGGTATATGATGACGTCTCTATATGAGCGAAAAATTGGCCATAAACGTCTATAATTTAATTTTGTTTGTATTCTAGCCTCTGATTGGTTAATATCCAAAAAGGAACACAAATTATTTCTGTATAACCTGGTTTGGTATGGGGACACCCCCCCCCCCCCCCGGACAACCAGCTGAATCGTCTGTATCCATGCAATCATCTCATTTCTAGTCCTCGGGATTCATGGAAAATTCCAGATTTAATAAATGTACCTTTTACTTCGAACAGTAACTCGGATTTTACCACATGTAATCAAACAACATGGCTGCTAGGACTATGTATCAGTTTTTACCTCCCCTGGCTTCCCATCACTTCCGTTACTACGGTTGTATTATTGAGCGGCAAATTTGAACTAATAAAAAGCAACGAAATTTTACAACCACAGTTGTTTAATGATTTTAAAATTAAATTATAAGGAATGACTCTAATTCTTGGCCAAATTATTCGAGTATAACCTGGTTTGGGTCAGTTTACGCTGTTTTATAATCCGCTTCGCGGATTATAAAGCGTAAACTGACCCAAACCAGGTTATACTCGAATAATTTGGCCAAGAATTAGAGTCATTCCTAAAATAATCAGTAAAATATCGAAATTTGAAACAAATGATAAAAAGGATTAAGCCTAGAATGTATGCTATTGCAAGCAATAGTATGAGGGACCGTTTTGGTATTTACTGCAATTAAGTGATATCACCTATTCGAATGTGTGATATCACCTTTTAAGCTTTTGAATTTGTGATATCCTCTTCTTGAATAGGTGATACATGTACCACCTATTCAAATTAAGTATGAAATAACATCTGCTCCCAATACTAAAGTGCATTCATTTACTCTATACAGGAAGTAAAAAGTTCAGTCTCTTTTCACTTAGATAATTATAACAGAGAGAAAGTATCAATAAATATAGCAAAACTGACTGCAAGTGAAATTTATATAAATTCACAGGAATTAAAACAAATGGTGTTTTAAATGCCTTGGACTATAACGCAGGGGAAAAGGGCTGCCCGAATTTGCATACTATCAAAAGAAATGATGTAGTTTTTCATATGCAAACAAGTTATTTTATGGTCTTTTTTTATATATACTTTGCAACTTAAAAACAGGGTCCCCTCTCCTCTTTGTGCTAAATAAATGATCTTACAGAGAATCATGTTATTTTGATCAATGCAATGCCGACATACTAGAGGGTATGTCTCAAATTAAGTGCAGTAAGTCCATAGAAACTTTATTATTTTTTTGTAAAAGTTTGTGCAAGAGCAATGAAATCGATTTCATCAATTTTGTATCACTGCTAAGGAAATAAAATGCTCTTTGAAGGCGTTTTGAATGTTCATCCTTTATTTTGCATTGAATCTAGATTGTCTTGTTTTTCGCATTCATTTTTAATGTTATAAAAAACGCAAATAGGTCATATAACTAATTCAAATTCGTGATATAACCAATTCAAAACAAAAAGGTGATATCACCAATTCAAATAGGTGATATCACCTAATCGAATAGGTGATATCACCTATTCAACTCAAAAAGATGATATCACTTATTCCAATAGGTGATATCACCTATTCATTTCCAATAGGTGATATCACCAATTCAAAAAGTGATACCACCTACATGTGTATTCGATTAAGTGATATAACCTATTCGAATAGATGATATCACCTATTCCATTTGAATGAGTGATATCATCTTTTCAAACAGGTGATATCACCTATTCGAATAGGTGATATTACTAAATGGCAATTAATACCAATACTGCGCCTCATACAATAGAAATACACAATCATCCATAAATGATCCTGTAACGAAAGTTTTGTACCTCTGCGCGTTAATTCACTCGTTCGTTGTGAGAAAAGGTTTGTCCAATCGTTTTCACGGCAAAGGAAACAGTTTTAAAAATCTTACATGTAAATGTAAACGCA